AGTGCCAGCGGGCGGGGATCACCGTCCGGATGGTTACCGGGGACAACATCAACACGGCCAGGGCCATCGCCAGCAAGTGTGGGATCCTCCACCCCGGGGACGACTTTCTGTGCATCGAGGGGAAAGAGTTCAACCAGCGGATCCACAACGAGCAGGGAGAGGTCAGACCCCCAAAGACGAGAGGGTTTTAGCCCTATAAAGCCACATGTGTCATATCTGATACGGTTTCTGAAGTTAAAGCTGTTTTTTGTGCTTTTAAAGCTGTTTTTGGCCTTTAAAGGTGTTTTTAGGGGCTTTTAAAGCTGTTTTTTAGGGCTTTTAAAGCTGTTTTTTGGGGCTTTTAAAACTGTTTTTGGGGCTTTTAAAGCTGTTTTTTTAGGGCTTTTAAAGCTGTTTTGGGGTTTTTAAAACTGTTTTTGGGGGTCTTTTAAAACTGTTTTGGGGGTCTTAACCCTATAAGTCCAAATGTGTGATATCTGATCGGGTTTCTTTTGGATGTGAGACTTTCTGCATCATTCAGTGGTAAAAGCTTTGCTCAAACCCCTGTTGTACACATTCAGATATACCTGATAACAGCCAGTAGAAGACCACACCAACATAGATTTCTGACTTATTGCACGCTAATTTGATCAAAATAATTTGGGATCATGTGATAGCATACTTTGCTAAAGTGAGTAATTTTAGCCAAATTCTAACAGAAGTGTTCAAACTTTAGATGAAACATGAAACACAACAGATTATTTCTAGTAATTTGGCCTCGGCTGGATGTCCAACTCCTCCCACATCCAAGTCGGCCATTTTTATAAGTTCATGTGACCAGCAGCTTTCTGAGGTGGAAACGAAACTTTACTGTCTATACGAAATCAGAAGATCAACGATGTCCTGACCCTAACCCTAACCTTGACCCTAACCCTGACCCTGACCCTAACCCTAACCCTGACCCTGACCCTAACCCTAGCCCTGACCCTAACCCTAACCCTGACCCTAACCCTGACCCTAACCCTAAACCTGATCCTAACCTAACCCTAATCCTAACCCTGACCCTAACCCTAACCTAGCCCTGACCCTAACCTGACCCTAACCCTAACCCTAACCCTAACCCTGACTCCTACCCTAAACCCTAAAACATAAACCATAAAACAATCAGTAATCTACATAGATCCTGTTATAGCATACAATGCTAAAGCTAGTAATTATAGCCAAATTCTAACAACACCTGTCTGCGTTTTCATGTCCTGAACTAAAACTGTTGCCTTTTCCCTTTATCTACCCAGATTGAGCAGGAGAGGATCGATAAGATTTGGCCAAAGCTCCGAGTTCTGGCTCGATCGTCTCCAACGGACAAGCACACGCTGGTCAAAGGTTAGTCCAGAGAGGGAAATTATCTCCCATGTCCCAGTTCGCTTTGGAAGAACCATTTGAACGCATTTCATTATGAAAATGAGTCTTAAGCTACCCGCTCTGTTTATGTTTATGTTTCTGTTTCTGCATTTGTCAGACGCTTTTCTCCAAAGCGACTTACAGAGTAGACCCAATATTCCATTTCTCATCACTATGGGTTAGGGTTAGGATAGGAGATGTTCTCTGAAGAGGGGGGTCTTCAAGAGTTTCTGAAGACAGACAGGGTCATTTTAAGCCTTGTTTTTGTCTTTTTGCTGTATAGTCGGTCATTTTAAGTCTTGTTTTTGCCTTTTTGTTGTATGTTTATGTTTCTGTTTCTGCATTTGGCAGACGCTTTTCTCCAAAGCGACTTACAGAGTAGACACAATATTACATTTCTCATCACTATGACAACAAGCTGTACGGGTTAGGGTTAGGATAGGAGATGCTCTTTGAAGAGGGGGGGTCTTCAAGAGTTTCTGAAGACAGACAGGGACTCTGCTGTTCTTGTGGAGCTTGGTAGGTGGTTCCTCCATCTTGGAACGACAAATTAAACAGTCTGGTTGGTCTTAAGCTGGTGAAGGCTCTGCTAACCTACAAGTCCCTGATGCTAGCCCACAAGTCCCTGATGCTAGCCCACAAGTCCCTGATGCTAGCCCACAAGTCCCTGATGCTAGCC